TGTTGTTGTACATTCTGATGAATAAACAAGAAAGTTTCTAGTGAAGATGTTATCTCCTGTGTGTTGTTGCCCTCCAAATCAGAGTCTTCAGTGTCTGGAAATCCTTGTTCTTCAGCTTTCACTTCGAACTTCACAACTGGCTGCTCGATGTTGTTCTCTGTACATTTCCGAAAGAAAAACTTGGCATTTGGATCTGTTCATTTCCATTCATCAATTTTTTTTTCTACCTGCAGTTGATCAAAGCCAGAATATTTTCCACGAACTAAGGTGTGATGCACATGGTTTTGGATAACATGGCTTGAAGGATAGTACGATGGGTCTTGTGGATGTGGTAGACCACTCTACATGTGGATGTAGAGTTCCCATCTCTGAAAGCTCTTTCTGGACAAAGGTTTTCAGAACCTTCTTCAGGAAAGGAACTGAGGTTATTCCAAGTGACACATATTCCTGTATTTTGTCACGCACCATGTAATGGATGCCATTTGAGAAATGACAGTTTTGTGAAGTGTTGTGGTTTTTGTGTGCTCCTGCCAAAGGTATTTTGACATGGATAATTTCTGAAGCGACGGTGGTGTTTTCTTTTAATGACTCCAGAACACCCTTAATTGCCACTTGTTTTTCAGTTCTAGAACTTGTTTTAGTCACAGCAAACTGATCATATCTGTGAAAAACAAGATTGTTTAATGATACCCATTCAATAAATATCCAATATGTTGAACCACCCTTTTATGAGACAACACAAGAAATATGCATTTAATTGCTAATTAAATTGATTTTACACGAAAAGAAACAAATCGTATAAACTTTAAAGCAGTGGTTCTCAATTGTGTGTCTGTTTTTATAGAGTCATGAAAAACATGGAAGAAACATTGTAGTTACAAAACTGTAGTTAGGTTGATTCATCAGCACTTGATGTCAAAATAAAAACTGGAGCACTAAGTAAAAACAGTTGAGAACCACTGGGTCTCATTCACTAAGCAACGCACAAATTTGTGCATAATCTGTGTGTGAACATTTTCATGAACAAATCATGTTTCATTAATAACTTTCATTCTAAAACGTATTCTAAATTTACTAAAAAATGTAGGAACTAATAAAAATAAATCAAATACTCTAGATGGCCTTATAAACATGTTAAGATGAAAATTACACAATTATTAGTGAATGAGACCCACTGTTCCCACTGTTTAAAAGATACATTAAGTTATTGCAGCTATAAGCAGCTATTGTATTCAAAAGATTAGTAAATATTAAGTAAACTTTATTTTAAAGAAGAGAAATGGCTTTTTATTTCAAACTTTTTTGTATATCTGAATCACTTTTAAAGATGTATTCCTGTCTACATATTATGCAAACTGTATATAAAGCCATGCTAATGTAATACTTACCTTACTACATATCGGACAAAGTTTTGCTGGGCAATCCACTTTCTTGCTGTTTTGAATATGGAACCTTTTTCTTCTTGCATATTCATGTTCAGTATGCTGCAGAACAAAAGAAAATAAAGCTTAAATTAAATATTTTTTTGGGCCAGGCACTAACATTTATTTGTGAGTGAACAAACATTTTCACATGGCATATATCAATTCGTAAAGTGGACATGCTTATTATTCTGCAGAAACCCTGTTTCCCTGCATTAAAAAAAAATGATTGAATGTTTTATGCTCAAATGGTACAAATTAGTTATATAGACAAATATAAACTGTGCAAATATATGGATTTCTTACATTTTAAAGGCACACTATCTTTTTTACAATATTAATATAATGGTTGAGTACACCATGAAATTACAGTTGAGGTTAAACAACTAGTCACATGGATTACTCTAATGAAGTCTTTACTATCTTTCTGGAGCTTGAAAGTGGTAATTACGTACAGTAGCTGTCAATGGAGAGACAGAAATCTCTCAGATTAATTAAAAAGATCTTCATTTGTGTCCTGAATTTGAAAAAAAAAAGTCTTGGAGTAATTAATGACAGGCTTTTCATTTTTGGGTAAACTAACCCTTTAACAGTTCTCACACTTAGATTTGTTATTTCGTATTGTAAGTTCTATGACTATTATTCTAAACATGAAAGGTAACAAGAAAAACACTGTTGGTGTGCTCAAACTTTTGTCAGGTAGTGTAAAACTCTATTTTACCACTTTAGCATTACATAAACTAAACCAGTGGTGTCCAATCTTGCACCTGGAAGGCCACCTTCCAGAAAAGTTTATTTACAGCCCTAAGCAATCAATCACACCTGAATCAGCTAATAAAGGTTTTCAAAATCACTCAAATCTGTGGCAAATTGTCCCTCCAGGTCCAGAATTGGACACCTCCACACTGAATTCATAACCAGCGTGGTGAACAAAATGTGTAGCGATACATACCAAATCATCTGTTGTGGGTGTCTTCTTGTAGTTCTTTCCGTGCTGACAAGCATATATCACCCTTCTTTTCACAGGGAGAGGGACATGTTCCGAATAGTCTTCCACTTTTCATAGACATCGTGGTGTCACTTTCTGTTTTTTGTGACTGTCATCAGACCTGTTATGAGGAAAAAGACAATTAAAATTAAAAATGAAAGAAAAACAGAAAATTATAGGACAAGCACAGCATGAATAAATACTGTAATAAATATATTGCTCACTGTTAGTTAATGCTTTAACCAATGTAATTAAATGAGACCTTATTGTAATGTGTTACCCTCTGATACCTATTATCTTATTACATTGCATATTTTTCTATACAGAGAATTATACTGTATTTGTTTTAATGTGTTTTCAGTAGTGAATATATCTGAAACAAGATAAATACCTTATATCATGGCAAATAAAGTTCAAAAGATATTACCATAATACAGAAACAAGTACAAAAATATTTTTCATAAGCGGAAAAACATGCAGTAAATATATGGACTGTTAAATTACCAAACAGTGTAAGATGAACCTGATGCCCGCTTGTGACTTTCCAGTAGGTGTTTCAATTCTTCTTCTGAAGAAACAATTCCTGTGATGTACTCTTCTGATGACGTACATATTTTGAAATTTGTTGGGAGCCAGTCTGAAAGAAACAAAGTATATTAATAAAGTATAAAACAAAGTATATTTGAAGAGGCTCATTACTTTCATCTATATTATATTTTTCTTTATATTCATTCAGTACAACTGTGGAAAGATACATAGGCTATATAAAAACATACAGTATCTCACAGAAGTGAGTACACCCCTCACTCAGCCTGTCAGTGCTCAGACCATACGCCGCACACTGCATCAAATTGGTCTGCATGGCTGTCGTCCCAGAAGGAAGCCTCTTCTAAAGATGATGCACAAGAAAGCCCGCAAACAGTTTGCTGAAGACAAGCAGACTAAGGACATGGATTACTGGAACCATGTCCTGTGGTCTGATACTTGGAATTAGTGCTCTGCATTTATCCCATCCAAAGTGCACACACACAGCAGTGAACACACACACACACCGTGAACACACACCCAGAGCAGGGGGCAGCCATTTATGCTGCGGCGCCCGGGGAGCAGTTGGGGGTAGTTGAGCCTTGCTCAAGGGCACCTCAGTCATGGTATTGAAGGTGGGAGATACTGTGAGATACTGTAAGTTAATTAATTAATCAAGATCAAATTAACCATGGTTTATTATTGTAAAAGTGTAGCAAACGTTTTCCTTGGCGGATTGATCACCATATTTGTATAACCACGGTTTTAATACAAATACCATGGTTAAAGTATATGGTTGATTTATCAAACCCATGATTATTTTGTGGTTACCATAGACATGGACCAATAACCATGTTTTGGTTTTATTTGTAGTAAAACTTACAGTAAAACGTAAGTAGGGTAACGTTACTAACGTTAGCCTACTGCACGTTTTACATTTTTTGGTTGTTTATTCATTTTTGAAAATAGCTTAATTGTAAGATAATTAAACATAAAAATAGATACCTGTATGACTGTTTTGTCCTTCATTATACATTGTAGGTAGGGCTGTCACGATATTAGATTTTTCACACCACGGTCATTGTGTCCAAAAGAATTCACGATATCGATATATCGCGGTATCTATAGAAACCTTAGGGAATCTGTTTATTTTTGTTTATATTTGTTTTAGTTTTTCTTTTTACCCAATGAACATAAGGATACTGATAAACACAGGGCACATGCATTTTCACTTCTTCTTCTTCTTCTTCTTCAGGTCACAGCTGACCTGAGACTCTGGCTTTCTCGGTCTTCTTTGAAGCTCCCTATGAAATAAAAATAGAGAAAATACTGTCAAGTTCAACAGTATAATGAATAAATATTAACATCAAATCTGATACTTTAACCTGTTAACTTGCGTACCCGTATTTTAATCTCTTTAACCTATAGTTGCGCCGGCGCCACTGAAGTCATGCAGTTAACGTGCTTCTAATTCGGTATTAATGTGCACCCAGAACGACCGCAGATGAGGCATTAAGTGCATAGAACTGCGACCAACTTTACATTTTACAGTTTAATGTGGTCGCTCAGTTTTTCTAGATCAGTTTTAATCGTGTAATAGACTTGAACAAAGAAATCAATTGCTACACAAAGGCAGTATTGGCCATGACTTGATTGCAAATACAAATACAACAATTAGACGAGTAAAGAAAAAGCGGTACTTATTAAAATAATCACCCTTTTATTTAAATACATGAAAACAGGAAACCGCTGTTATGAGGTCAATGTTACATGTTACATTTCCCATTCAATGACTAGTAAAATAATGGCAACTTACTGTGTGGATAATATTGAACATGGATCTTCTGAGATATATCCATCTGCAGACCTGCATGGTTCTTCTCGGAGTAGTGCGGCCGCGCGCTGCGTCTTCTTGTGTGACAGGTGTCAGTGTTAAGGCGCAATACTGCCACCTGGGAGGTCAACCAGGTACTGGCGCTGGAGTAGGCTATTTGCGTGTCGTGTTATCATAAGTGTCCGGTTCATTTTAAATATCATGGTTATCGCCAATACCGGTATATCGCAACACCCCTAATCGTAGGTATGCTTTTTTCTCCTTCATTATCCATCTGAGCTGATCCTGGGATTGGAAATGCTCACGCAAAAAAATTTTATTCTGCGCATGATCGGTGACCTCTTACTTTTTTTTTTTTTTTTGTGGAAAGAGGGCGTTTTCCCAAGACCTCCAGAAACGCCCATTTTACGTCATGGTAATGAAAAGAGAGTGGTGTCCAGCGGATGACGTACTATCTTCTGAAAGAAGAATGTCATATACACCTAGGATGGCTTGAGGGTGTAAATCATGGGGTAATTTTCATTTTTGGATGAATTATCCCTTTAATGCATCCTCCTCATCGACAGGATCCTCTATAAAAGGACATGCCATTTCCACTTCTTAGACCAGGGGTCTTCAAACTCGGTCCTGGAGGGCCGGTGTCCTGCTGAGTTTAGCTCCAACTTGCCTCAACACACCTGCCTGGGAGTTTCTAGTATGCCTAGTAATACCTTAATTAGCTGGTTCAGGTGTGTTTAATTGGGGTTGGAGCTAAACCCAGCAGGTCACTGGCCCTCCAGGACCAAGTTTGGAGACCCCTGTCTTAGTCTGCAAGACGGAAATACGCGCAATAAATGAATGTACCGAAAGAATGAATGAGGTATTTAAACATCGCTTTCACTTTAAAAAAGAGGAGGAGACCAAAAGAAACTCATGGTTTAACGAAGAAAACCTGCTCCCAACCAGGTTAGGTTCACAGAGTAAGTTACCATGGTAACTGACTCTGAGTATAAGTAACCTCTCTTTCAGAAATGGGCTTGATTTACCCTGCTTTCTCGGGTTTGAGATACCCAGAGTTTCCCTCATTTCAGGGTTAACATACTCAGTGTTTTCACTTAACCTCCTTTCTGAAACGGGCCCCAGGTGTGCTGAAACTTTGCAGGACAGTGGGTCCCCAGGAGCAGGGTTGAAGACCTATGAATAGGCTACTCACATGATGTGGTTCTTGATCACAACTATAAAAGGACTAGCATATCTTTCCTTACATATTTCCATAATAATAATAATGATAATAATAATAAATATAGCTGCGAGCTGCAATTATCGGGGTTCAAGCATTTTAAGATCTTTATGCTATTTATGCTCGTTGGGGTTCATGTGTACCTGAAATATATGGCTGACACCATTAGATATGCCTCAGAATACAAGAGAAAACAGAATCACAGAGCAAACCGGCTTAAATAATAATATTTGATACAAACTAAGCATGGTCACACACACACACACGGATATTTTGTTGTAGATACAGACATTTGAAATATATGACTAAATGACTATTCTAACCAGCAGGTGGTAGCAGAAGACCACTCATTGGCTTACTTTCATTTTAAAAGTGTCTGTTTTTGGTTTCAAAGCACATTTTCCATGTTAACTCTATTAAAAATGCATACACACACACACACACACACATTTTGTTGCGGATATAGATATTTGAAATAAATGAGAAAATGCTTTATTCCAGGTTTACCCTTTAAAACATAATTTTCAGGTCTCATTGTAATTGTGTTATTGTTGCAAAAACATATTTAAATTAAACAAATAAAGTGATAATCCTTGACAAAAATGTGATTTGTAATGTTATTACAATGATTTTATAAAGTTTAAGTGTGATTTTAAATGAAAAAAAAACTTGAAAACAACTAATGAATGAATGAGCCAATGAGTGGTCTTTCGGTTCCATCTGGTGGTTTTAAAGGTGCATTTCAGGGAATATGTGATTATAATCATAGGAACACTGTCATTTTTCAACTTTTTTTTAGAGACACCTATTGCTCTATCTCCTTGAAATTGTGCATGCTTGTTTAGAGTCATATGTCCCATGTACTTATTTATTTTTGAGAAGATCTTCCTTGAGGCCTCATATTGAAATTACTCTATTATAGCCTGATACCTGCAGATACACAGGATGAACCTTTTCAATTTCACACAATTGTTTTTGTCTCTATTAGAAGCAGTTCAAATGTGATATTGTTATTATACAATAGTTCAGTAAAGAAGTTAATGTTGTTTTAGAGTCACAATGTTGGTTGTTTTTGCTGAGTTTTACCAATACAAATACAGTAGCATGTATAAAATAACAGTGGAACTGTTGTGCATCCGTTTGGAACGTACTGTGGTGATTAATTTGTAAATGAGTCTGCGTTGAGAATGTATTGTTAATCATTGATTAGTGGTTTATTTGTAAAGAGTAATTTATTTCTTTTGTAATAATTTAGTGTTTTGAACAAATCAAATTAATGAATGCCTGAGCAATTAAATGAGCAATTAAGACATTTACTGTTTACTATGTATTAGCAGTTTTTTTAAGAGCATAATTTTTTTTTTAAATAGAATTTTATGTTTTCATATTAATAAAAAAGCTATCTAAAAATTGTGATTAATTGATATTTTAAATGTGATTTTTTTTTTCTGTTATGTGGAACAAAACGTATGAATATGTAATAGAGGTTTTTGCATTTTTGTGTGTTTAAGTAAATAAAGACATTTGTTGCAGGTTGCTGCTGTCAAGGTGAAGATAGTTCATGTCGGTTCTGCCACTGAAACCATTGAAATCAGGGGAGTACCAGTGGAAATGCAAACTTGTTACATAGCTGATCACACAGATCGTATAAAGCATCAGTTGTGGGAGACACAACTGGGAGCATTGGTGAATGGTAAGTCATATGACATAATCAATCTCTCCACCAGGGAGTTTGGGGTTGATCTATATTTGACAACCACCCGATCTACAGAAATGAAAGAGGTGGCAGCTCTGTCTGGTCCAGGCTTAGATTTGCCATTTACAGCCGACGAAGGAGAAGTTACAACACTGACTGGTCAGATTAATGGTGCTGAGGTTAGTGTCCATCGCTGCTGTGTCAAGTGCTATGCCTGGCAGGCTGACTTTGATGCAAAAGCGAAGTTTCACCGTTGTATAAGATGTGGGATGCTGCAAAGGATTGCCAGTTTTCAGCCAAGTGTTACTGCCAAAATCTCTGTATCAGGTGACTTTGGGGAAGATGACTTGAAACTGTCCAATTCAGTTTTGAAGAAACATTTAGAGGAAGAGGGACTAGTAAACTTGCTTTCGGATTCACAGAATGTTGAGGAGCATTTACTGGAAATTGGGATGTGTTATTTTAAGATGCAAAAGAATGTTGTGATTGCACTCAGCAAGGTTAAGTATGAACGAAAGGCTGAAGGTGAACCTGAAGGTGAAAATTGCCATCTGTTTGGAGCAGTATGGAAACAGAGAGGTTTTAAAAAGAGCGCTGGACTTCCGGCTGAGCATGTGAGTGAGAAGACGTGCTTGAAGTTAGCTCCCGAGCACTTTGTCATTCTATTATATCTTTCAGGCTGCCTGAAACGTTAAGCACACTTGGTGGTTTATTGTTCAAACTACTTATTCGACGATTGTAGCTTGGAAGGATTTATGGCTTCTGAAAGGCAACGTAAACTTAAATCGTCAGCGACAGTGACAGAGAGTCATGGCGACAAGCTGCCGTTGGATCTGGAAAATCTCCGTGTCACTCTGATCTCCGAGCTATCATCTACCATCGCAGAACAGGTGAAAGCAGCCATCGACTCTGCTCTTGCCCCGGTTGTTGCGTCCTTTGAGAGTTTTAAATCGAGCATCAAATCACAAGGACGGCACATTGACGAGCTTGATCAGCACTTCAACGATTACAGCGACCGCATTGTAGCAATGGAACAGACGGTGCTAAAGTTGACTTCGGCTAACAAGCAACTCACCGATAAAGTGGAGGACTTGGAGTCGCGCTCTCGGCGTTGCAATCTCCGGGTCATCGGCATCCCCAAGCGAGCAGAAGGGAGCGATCCGGTTACGTTCATGTCACAATTTTTCCAGGATGTGCTCGGGTCAGAAATCTTTCCCACTCCCCCGCTGCTGGATAGAATGCACCGTATTGGTCCCGCGTCTTCGGCTGACCGGGAGAATCAAAGGCCTAGAGTGATGATCGTGCGGTTTCACTACTTCAGCGATAAAGAAAAGGCTGTCCGGCGTGGGAATTGGAACCAGCTCTTCTATCAGAGTCGTAAGGTCTTCATTTTTCCTGATTTCAACTCCAGCGTTGCTAAGAGGAGGGCGGCATTTTCAGCTGTGAGATACAGCCTGCGTGAGAAGAACGTGAGATTCCCCGCTCGTCTGCTGATAGACTTCGGAGATGAGAAGTTTCAATTCGACTGTCCCAAAGAAGCACAGCGATGGTTTAACGAACGGTATTCAACTTCCTAGGTACTATGTAGAGATAAGTATGCAAAGGACACTATTTTATAAGCAGTTGTACTCTGATAATTGATAACTGTTAACCAAGTGAGTTTAGATAAATGTTTTCATGTTGCCTGAAATGATTGTTCTTTATGTTACTCCATATGTTCGGGAGTGACTTCATACGACATAGACGGGAATAGATACGGTTTTTGAGCATTGGAGGTTCCAGAGTTTTAGTGTTCTGCCTCCATTGTTTGGGAATGGAGAGAAGAAACTGAGTGATGTTCAGGGTGGGTGGGGGGAGGGATGGTGGGTTTTTCCCCAATTAATTTTTTTTTTCTTTCCTTTCCCCTTTTTTTTTCTCTCTGTATTTTTTGTATTTGTATTTTTTGTTAAGAAAAAAACAAACTTTTTTATTTATTTTTTTAGATGTCATTGTGTTTTAATTGGGGATTGCTTTGTTGGGGCTGGGTAGGGATGTATATGGTGGGTGGGGTGGTATAAAATGTAAAAATGCAATTTGCAACAATAAATTTTCTATGGTAAAAAAAAAAAAGAGCGATGGGATTCCTATCCAACATGCTGAACAAATAGGTCAATTAATTTATGCTATGATGCTACCAAAACGACTAGCAATCATCAAGTGTCAGGCCCATAAAAAAAGAAATTATTTTGTCATTAACAATGCAGCAGATTTGGAAGCTAGAAAAGCTTCAGGGTGTCAAGTAGCAGTACTAGCACCTGTAGTTCTTATAGAACCACAACCTCAGTTGGAAGATATAATTCAAATTCAATAACAAGCAGGCCCCTATGAACACTCTATGTGGCACCAAAGGGGAGCCAAAAAAGACCATTGTCCAAGGGGGGAAGTGATAAGGAAAATTAAACAGCAAAGTTATTGGTCTCCTTATTTACATGCAATGGTGGATGAATTTTTGTCCACATGTGAAGTTTGTGCCAGAAACAATGTGCGGAAAGGAACAGCGACACCAATAGGCCATATACCAGTACCAGAAGGACCATTCAAGCACTTGGTAATGGATTATGTGGATATGATAAAGCGAGTACAAGGCAAAAGGTACATGCTTGTAGTAATAGACAGATTTAGTAGATGGGTGGAAGGAATATCAACAGATCAGGGAGCAGGAACAGTAATTAAATTTCTAACAAAAGTAATTCCTAGATTTGGAATACCATCAGAAATAAGTTCAGGTAATGAAGCAGCATTCATACAAAAAACTGTAAAACAAATATAAAACGATTGAGAATAAAGCAGCGATTAGGGTGTGTTTATCATCCACAATCACAAGGGATGGTAGAGAGGTTAAATGGAACCCTCAAGGCCAAACTTAACAAAATATGTAAAAATACTAAACTTAACTGGATTGATTCTTTGCCTCTTGCACTAATGAGCTATCGCATGCAAACTAACAGGAACACGCACTTAACACCGCATGAAATGCTTACGGGTCGACCCATGCCTGTGCCATATTATAGAGGTCCCTACAAAGGACTACCTCTAGAGCAATTACAAATGGAACTGCTATCTTATATGAAGAAATTAACTGTA